TAGTTCGTGTGCACATAAGCCATGTGAGCAGGATATTTCATGTGTACGAAAGCCATAAAGGTTAGACCCGGAGGATCCGGGCTTCGACTATATATTTAGCTTAAAGAGGGTTAGGCCTACCCCAAAATTACGGAAAGCTCGACCTCGACGTGTGATATCGAAATGGGTGAAATCGCCTCTTGATATCACTAACTATCGTGAATCTTGACTCTTGAATCACACAGACACCATAGAGGAAGACATTTGAGTTTTTTCAACAAGTCGGTCTTTTGAGGTACACCTGTCCAAGGAGACTCCAGAAAAGCCCGGAAGATGGAGGAGAGGTGGTTTATCCTTTTTCAAATGTATTTAAGTTATTTTTGGGAGTTGAGAAAAGATTTATTCATGATTGGCAGACGATGTTGCATCAGAACTGTAAATGAGGTCGAATTCGAATCTTCCATTGAGTTTTGTATCGAGATGGATATATTTTTCAATTGATTCCCTGATTTTTTCTGCTAGCTCCGGTGCCAGACTCGACTGACTCTTCGGCCGACTTCGTCTCTGGCCTGCCAAGAAGAATATTCGGGTCGAACGAGTCCTGCTCGCTGAATGGGAAAGAATGCAAGAGGTTCCGGGAGTGTCCGGAAGCGGAATCCATTTTCGAACAGAATCCAACAGCCTTACTCTCTCGCCTGTGCTCGATTAGCCCCTACGGTGAGACAGGTATCTGCTGCGACAGAACGCAATCTTCGCCCGCTCCCCTCGTATTTTCATCGCTAAATAAAAATCCTGCAAAGCGTCTCAGCCAAATAAGTGAGTTATTAATAACCCTTTCGCTACCATTCTCTCTCGATTCCCTTTTTCCAAGTGATCATTGCTTAGCCGTCGCATAATGACTCGTGCAGAATGCGAGGAGTACAAGGCTATGCTGACCCGGACCAGATCCCTAATATGCAACAGCAGACCCCAACCACTGATCGTCGGTGGAACGGCAGCTGCCCCTCATGAGTTCCCTCACATGGTAAGCCCAACGTTTCAATCTGCTTCTCTGCTCGCAAACGTCAATTGAAACCACTATCAATTGTAGGTATTCATAAGCCGTTCTCCTGGAATTCACTTAGTAATTATGGGAGTCGATTTCTTCACAGGAGAATCCGAGAAATCACGCTGAATTTTCACCGATTCTAACTTTACGGGCAATATTCATTCCTGAAATGTGATATATCAAGAGGATTTCATCTTTTTCCTTGTATGTTCAAGGTGATTCTAAGTTCAGAGAATTTTTTTTTAGCGTTATTTTATTATGTCCATCGAATCAAGCGGCTTTTTTCTAAAAATAAATTCCGCTGTTTGACTTCAGAATCTTCAGACTTTCACTATCACCGAAAGTCTGTATTGATGTATATCCGGTAGAGATTAATTTAAAATCAAAGAAAAGAAACAATCCGGATTGGGCCACATTAGATTCGATAATATCTCACCTGATGCTGAAACTGACTCCTGCAAATCCCCGTATTTTTCCAAGTGTTTCACGGGGGGAATTCACATGCGAATTTCTTGATTGATCGCAGCGAACTGCCACCAACTTATCCTTGGATTGTTCTGAGAATCAACATGTCCACATTACAAGTTCGAACAGTGAGGGACAACGGCCGGTAATAACCCAGCATTGCAGACAACAGTGCTCAGTGAATATGACCAATATAAGTGTTTTATAAATAAATCAGCCTCAGGAGGCTCGATCTTAATTGGCAGCGGCTGACATATTTTGACGGTATACATTCCATATCAATTGGGAGGGAATGTATACCGTACAAATATGCCTTATATCATTTGCCTTTTCAAGGTTCCAAATGCAGAGTGGCCCAAAAAAGTACCCACATTTTGAATAACTGAATAACTGAAAATCACGTTAGCATTACTTAATACAAGCTTTAATCTATGCGTACACTTTTGGTTCACCGGAGATGCTCAAATTGTCATCCACCAGCATTTAAACATTCAAATAACGACTATCATAGAAAACCAAAAGAACTGGAAGAAGGGGTACATTTTTTCGGCCACTCTCTATTTACCTGCAATAATTTTCTCTTTTTCCTTTTGCGCTTTCAAGTAAGAGTCTTCAACTGGCAATGAATCGACGGTAATGTTCCATGTTGTACCATATGTAGTCCAAGGGAATATTAGCTGAATAAGTCCCTGTGAAAATTTGTTTAATCATTATTAGCCACACTCTTGTAGCGTCAAAGAGGAATTCGAACAAGTTGTGTCAGACTAAGCAACTTTATGTTAAAGCATCACCTTTGGGACTTGACTGAATAGAAATTTGAGAAGGTTTCTTTTTCCCGCTTAATCCTAGAGGCAGCAAGGTGCTGGTAATCATTTTTTTTAATCGTGTTTAATTGTTCAATGCATTAATTTTTTAAACAAATAATTCATGAAATAATATGGCAATTATATATTGGTTGCTGTGAACGTCTAGGATCTCATAATAGTATGCCATGCCATCGGTTAGGATATTAGAAGAACTAAATGAAGAAATTCGAATGTGTCATAAAATCGACAGTTCCCGCTCCAAGGGATAGCATATCCCCCTCATCCACACTCCAATTACGAGGAGTTCTGTGCTCTATCATTCATAGGAAATTGTCAGAAGAATATTCATTTCTTAGTACGTGCTCACTGTCGAGTCCCACAAGTTGAGATCACAATTACTATAGGCCTGTCCCTGAAGACAGAGAACTAGCGAGTTTGTTTGCCCGATGAACACGCCTTCACCGCTGTGCGCTCCATAAAAACGTTTACAAAACTGCGTTTCGATTGTCATATTTTATAGCAAGACCGTAAGAATCAGCTTTTTTGAGTGAAATAGTGCAAGATTACTTGTTTTGTCCCCCCCCCCCCTCAATAAAGAAAATGATCTCTAGGATGGTGGCAAAAAAGGCCTAAAGGTTTTTACTACCAAAATGTATGCCCTGGGGGCGTATACGACAAAATTAAGAACTTCCTTGAATTCATTTGTCCAAGCTCTATATAATAGTACATTTGGCCGAAGCCAAAATTCTTTATTTGAAAACATGCCCCGCAAAAATTATGCCCCCAGGGGATACATCTTTGAATTGAAAATTTTCTATGAATTAGCATATCATTTGCACATTTATACTCATTTTCAGCTTTCTATGTCTCTGTTAGAAACAAATTATCATATGAAACGTCTCCCTGAAAAAAATATGCCTCCAGGGCATATATATGAAATTCATCTTTTTCCTGGGAATCAGCACTCCAATAGGCACTTTCTTGTCTATTTTCAACTTTCCCTCATTCTGTTTGGCTGAAGTAAAAGAAAATATTTTAAAACGTCCAATGAATAAATACGCCCCGAGGGCATATGCCTATAAAGCCGAATTTTTGCTGAACTTTGCATTCCAATAGCTACTTGTGTACCAAGTTTCAGATTTCTAATTTCTCTAGAACATGGTTAGAATTAGCGCCAGTCACTCACTAACTCACTGAGTCAATCACGATCGTCAATATACATGGTGGACCACAAAAACCCAACAGTTTTCAACAATACATTATACTGCAATCCCTCAAATATTTTAATGCGGTTTGCGGCATTTTAAAGAGGAAAGAGGAGCCGTTTTACTTCATGAGTCAGTGAGGTGTGATTTTAAGTCGATATTATATTTACTTCCTATTGGCATGGTTAAGGACAGATGCCCCGAAGATCAAAAGGCGTTTGCGGATCCAGCGGGCCGGAAGGGCCTTTCAGGTGTCCGCGTGCGAAAGTAAGAGCTGAGAGTTAGTAGGGGTGCGCGAAGGAAAGTTTGAGGGTACATGCCAGGCTGATTGGAAAATCTTGTGCAAGGGCCGCTGGGGTGAATGTGAAGAAGCTAGGGAGTCTGGATTCCCCCCCCCCCCCATTTTAATGAGAGAGAGAGGGGTGGGGGTTGATGGAGATGATGTTGGGTTACAGATGGTGAGTTGTGAGAAAGGGTAGTCTTACGTGGAGAGAAGAGGCTGGGAAGGGGGGCAGGGGGGAGTTAAAGTGCAACTCTTCCCGAGGCGTTCAATAATTTTATGGAAATGTTAGGTTTTTCCATCTTTGAAGCGCCCAATGGTGACTTTTTTTATTTAGTTTTGAGGGTATTTCCTTAATGTCTCCTGGCATTTTAGGGTCGTTGAAGTAGTTAAGTGCTAGTTCAGAGGCGTGTTGGGGAAGAGGTGTTAGTCCGCTAATTCGATAGATATAGGAATTAGAATAATAAGTAGGAAGTCGAAATGCATATCTGATTGCAGCTCGTTCGATTCTTTCAAGCTGGCTGAGGACCGCCTCGGGGCAGTTAGCTCAGGCAGCAAAGGCGTATGTTAGTACAGGGCGAAGGTAGAAAGGAGGATAGATCGTTAACGTAGAGTATAAAGAGAAGCGGAGCGATCACAGATCCCTGAGGGACTCCCGCTGTTGGAGAAAAAAGGATTCGGAAAAGGAGTTGCCGACCCTGACCCTAAAGGTTCTCTCGGACAGATATGAGATATCCAGTGCAAGAATCGCAGGGGGATTTTAAAAAGAAAGTGAAGTTTATGGATTAGCCCTGCGTGCCATACCATATCAAATGCTTTGGTACCGTCAAAGAAGAGAGCTAAGAAATTTTTTTTTTTTTTGCTGTTGACAGCCTCGAGCGCGTCGTGGTGGAGCCAAACGAGCTGATCTGTGGTGCTTAAATTAGGTCGAAAGCCTGATTGACTATGTGTGAGAAGGTTTAGTGACTACAGATATATAGTCGAGCGGTGAGAATTCTTTCATAAGAGAGGTGAGAAGACTGATGGGGCGGTAGGAAGAGGAATCTGAGGGATCTTATTCGGGTTTGGGTATCGTAGTTACGTTAGCGGACTTCCATGCGGGGGGGACGTGACCGAGATTAAGACAGGCGTTAAATGTTAGATGAAGGAGCTGGAGGGCTTATTCTGGAAGATGTTTGAGAGATGCTACGAAGATGGTATCCGGGCCAGGGGCTTTATTAGGTGATATTTTAATCGCGGTCTCTATCTCTTCTATGGTGATTTCGTTACGTAGTGCTTCCTGATCGGAAGAGAGACTTTAAGGAAGAAGAGAGGGTTTGGAGAGGGAGAAGTTAGCTATTTTGTTTTGGAGATTCAGGCTTTCTTTGGGGGGAATCGGCCTCAGGGAGCTTGGCGGCTCGGTCATAGCTTCCAGCAGGGTGGTGGCAGGGACTGAGGCTTTGCTGTCGTCACTGCAGTGGGTCTTACCTTGATATTTAATGGGTTTACTTTGATTGTTTTAAGGATTTCCGATTCGTTTAAAGAGCTTCCAAAAGTTTGCTGGATCCTCTTCGGTGTTAATCTGTTCACAAAATTTACACCAGTATGCCTCGTTTTCCTTTTTAAGGAGAGCTTTAATTTCGTGGTTAAGCCTGTTAATGAGAGGTTTTAATGCGGGGTCTTTAGAGCGAAAGTAAGCGCGTCTTAGTTTTCTACGTTTCTTAATTGTATACAAGGCTTCTTCAGAGAGTGAGAGTAAGGTTTATGGGAGGTAGAAATTTTGGGTATTGTTACTTCTTGCGCGATATACGAGTTAGATGGACTCAGTGACGATAGTGACCGCCGCCTAGTTAAGCTGGGGGATGGCATCCATAGGGAGGGAGTCTGGGAGGAGGGTTTCTAATATGTCCTGAAGAGCGTTTTCAAAAGTATGGGCTCATGCCTCCAACCAAGATAGTTGTATCCGGACAAGCCGATCACTCATCATTAAATAGAATATAGCGGAATAAATTAAAATTCAGACCGCAATTTTTTCCTTGGCAGTTTTCCTGATGTACGGTACGATAGTCCTTACTTATCCTCAGGACAAATCAAGTAGATGAATTTGATAGAAAAGGTCTGAGGTTGCAGATCAGGGCTCACGGGAGACATCTACCGTCGAAGCTATGCACCTGACTGAAGGCGACAAAGAGTACTGAAGATGCCTAAAGACATCCCTAAGATTTCCCTAAGACATCCTCCTCAAGATATCGAAAAGCGTTCGACTGAAGATGTCTT